GATTGAATCAAATTAAAATCCGTATGAGTTTATCGCTGTAGATATACAATTGCTAGGAAGAAGTTGGAACTTCAGTAAGGGTTTAAGATTGTTTGGCTCGAAAATTGTTCTGATGAGGTGTTTGACTATGACATCGCCTAGTTTGCAGTTAAAATGCGATAACGGGATCCTTCATAGAGGTTATTCTAAATTAGAGGTTCTTTGAGAGATTAATGTGAAGTTGGTGAATTTTTTGAGTTCACCCTACTCCATTTGGTGTGATGTTGATGTAGAGGATGTTCCATAGCTAAAACGTTGTCAAGTCTCTCAGGCCTGGCCATAGCGCTTAGTTATCGTTATCTGAATTCACTGATTTGAAATAATTCCATGGAGTGAATGGAACTGGATCATTTTATCCATCGATATCACTGGGATTTGTTTGTACGCATTATGGATTTATGATGTGACTATGAGGAGGTAAATAATTTATTGCGGATGTTTAAAGGAAAGTTTGGTGATAAAAAATGTTACTGGCCATTAGAATTAATTTATTGGTTCCAATAGGGATATCATGGCGATTTGTGTGTTTGTGATATAATGCAGTGGAATAAATGCACAGCTGAGGACATTAAATACTTTATGAGATTTAGCAGTTCATAATGGGGATTAGAATGTGAGTGATGATGATGATTGAGGTGCTGTTAACGAGTTAATGAACCGTTCTTAATTGATTACCTTCCTTTGTTTACATTAGTTTCTCTTCTTGATGAGAGATATCACATAGTTCTTGTACATAGCTCTATAAGACATATAGAGTGATTACTGTGACCAGCTGTTGACAGTTCTTAGCTATCAGATCTTTTGTGGATATTCGATCTGATTTGAGCTGATCACTAGGAATTCTTAAGCTTTTATGAGTCCTTAGAGAGATTCAGATGATTTAGATGAATTTATGATATCAAATTGCTTGAGTGAATGAGTGTTTATTGTGGGTGAATGTAATGAAGTGGATGATTTTCACGGTTAATTGATCACAGACTCGAGTGAGTATTGAGTATGTGTCCTCGCATCATATTGAGTGTTTTCACAGTAGGTTTTTGACTTTGAGAGGTTATCGAAATGATATTGTGTGGGAGTTGTTGTATCTTATAGCTTGTGTTGAGAGCTATGGCAATATATGAAGTTTTTATGGACTTTTATTTCAATTCTTTGATAAATTTGAGAAATAGAATGAGAAATTTGTTGTCAAAGTGTAAATTCGAGATTCAACAAGATTTGGGAAGAAATTATGTTGACTGAATTGTGAAGAGTAAAGATTATGAATATTATGGACGGTATGAATTTTGGTTGGAGAAAATAAATTTCTGATTGTGAGAAGGAAACAAAATGGACGTGGAAATGAGCATTTGACACTGATATCAGTTATTTGCTTCTTTCTTAGATGTTATTTCTTAAAATATTTTTTAAATCGAAAAAATAGACTGCGATAAACTAATGAGTGAGTACTATGGATTACATTTGTGACTTACTTGAAATAATAGAATGTTATTAGGTAACAATAAGTGAAATATAAAGCATAACATTTATTTTCATCATATAGTACATTGTGATTAAACAAGTGGCAAGTTTTGTACATCAATATTATTATCGTCGTAATTATTTCACATATCAAAGACGATACGAATGCTTACCATTATTAATACTGTTATTGTTGTGTACACAGTAATTAGAGATCAATACAAATAAGTGCAATAGTAAAAGAAAACTTATTACGAAGTCTAGTTACGTTATAATAATGGTGGTTCGAAAAGGGTCTTTTATTAGGCTAGCACACCTGTGGTGTAATGAACTTCTAAGAAATTTACTGAAAGACCGACAGGCATGAAAAGGTTTAGATTGCACACTTTGCATAACCATAATCTGTTCGACAAATAACCGAGGACTTCATTGGAAGTTTATTTTTCATGAATAGATAAGGATGTGCCGACTATCGGAAGGGATTTGTTTTGGATGATTTGTTTGGTTACATTACGTGAGCGATTGAGTAACATTCTAATGAAAATAGTAATAATGACTGCAATAACAAAAATTATAAAGTAAACGACATTTGCTATTAAACAACCATCTTTAAATTAGAATGCGTTTTGATAAATCTGATAAAACTAGATAAAGGTAGAAAGAATAGTCAGGATCATGAATAGTTGAAATTCGATAAGTTTTGGGGATAAGTATGATAAGATGGTGATATTGAATCTGACGTTGGTAACGTGTTGAGGAAATGGCGAGGTGAAGTGAAATCTGTTCCTTCAGATGAGGTCTGTGATGTTTGATCGAACATTGAGTTATCGTCGATGATACCCTCTGAAGGGAACGCTGATTCGTCAGGTGACTCGTACTCTTCCGGATCGCTTTTGAGGGTTTGTGCGAGTGCGTAGATGTAATTGTTGGCTAATCGAAGGGTTTCTGCAAATTTGATGGATTAAGATAGGAGATTTGACCTGGATTCAGATTTGAGTTATGAAATAATAAAGATTTTGGTAGTTGTAGAAGGTTGTGCTCAAAGCCGTGGTGAGAAGTCTGAAAAGTGACACATGGAATCGATTAATGAGACAGTGGGAGATTGTTGGCTAATCCGGAGAGAGTAGACCTTGGGTTATTGGATTGTGGTTTGTGAATTTTTTTACGAATTGGATTCCTTGGGAGGATCGTGAAACAGCGATGGATAGCGAATTTTTTTTTCGTTACTGAGACATGATATCTACGAACTATGTACTTTAGAATGAATGGTTATGAAATGATCCGTTAGTTCAAGAGAATATGATCGATCAGAGCCATGTATCGAAGGATTTTGATCACATGCGAAAATCCTGATCCGAGAGACTGAAAAAATTTGACCGGTCTAAAATGTTGCTGAAATTTGCGAAACTGACCGATTTTGGTGAGTTTCGGCTCCTGAGGTAATTGAGGTAGTGCTTTTCGCAGTTCCTCGAGCGCATCATTGAGACTGTGCATCCGTCTGCGCTCCCGATCATTGGCTTTAGATCGTCGGACACGTCTAGAGCGATGAATTGTCTCGGGACTCCGAACTCGGCATCGATATTTTCGCTTCGCTCGTTTCTCCATTTGCTTCTGGCTGCTCTTGCGGAAGATATTGTTGGTTTGAATCTTCAACAAAATGAACTTAAGGCAGGTTATTGGATGAATCAGAGGGAAGTTACTGGTATATCCATAAAGTCTGTATTACAGATATTCATATATGACAAGGATTTCTGAGAGTTTAACGGGTATTCTAGAATAGATAAAAAAAAAGGTCCACTGGTAGGGCAAAGATAGTGCGATAATTCGTTGATCAAATTACTGGAGAAAGCGTGAATATAGAAAGTAAAGAATCACAAATATTGAAATGCATTTGATACGCGTATCGGTCGATATTCGCAAAGAAATTTAACATACATGGACAGATCGGATAAAGGTGATTACTTGGATTAATTAGATTGGCCAGGCTATCAAACGTTTGAAACGTTGTTAGCCACAATGCTCGCGTTTCCGTGCACACTGTTTTAGCCNNNCTAGACAGGCCAATAAAGGTGATAAATTGGGTAAATTTGAAAGTTCATCCCAACAATAAGATAAAAAGCAGTGGAATGAGTGAATGTAAAGAAACTTACTTCTTCTTGCTGCTGGGAAGTGGATGGACGGTGTTTGATGTACATGGACGAGGACGAGTTATAATTTAGATTTGAATCTCGATCAGTTGAAATGTTGAACATAGCTTAATCTTGAGATTAAGATTAGCTTGAGGAGGACAGTTGGAGAAGAAGAAATGAGTATCCTAATTTATTGAATTAGTTGAATTCGGCTGAAAAATCTTCAGAAGAAATATATTTCAGGGAGACGAGTACAACTCTGCTTTCTAAACTGACTGGACTGAACTTCAAGATCTTGAATGCCAAATGTTACAATTTGATCTCGTGTCTGCGATGGGATTGGATATATATACTCAGATATACAGAACAGAGAGATTCTAGGGCACATATGGCTATGCTTGTGATCCGTTGGATAGTATACGTACAGAAGGCGTGGCTAGAACAGACAAATCATGGAGAACATGCAGATCAGCATATCTTTCACTATAAGAATCGAATAAGATGCAATAAGATTAATAGGTACTGTAGAGGATTGGATAAAGGGAAATTAATTCATTCATGTAATTTACAAGTTATCGTTTACTTCAATACAAACAGTGAGAATATCGCAAATGATAATAGTCTTATCATCCGCACTTTCATTTGAAAACAATAACTGATATCTTGATTGTTGCCATTAGAAATTGTCATTAGAAAATGAAACAGTAATTGATAAATTCATTAATAATTGATATCTTAAGTGGACTTCTGAATCTTTGGAACTGTGCAGTTTTTGGTTTTGAATTTTGTTCGTTTTGACTGGTTCAGTCAAAACGAGAAGGAAATGATTGCGCTGCTAATGAATTTTTTATTTCACTTTCTTCTTTCTTCTTTCAATTAGTAACAGTAAACTGAAGTGAGATTTTATTATTGAACATGGATCATTCATAATTTAAGTTGAAGATGAAATGGCCGCTTGTAGGGTTTGTGTGCTTGATCTAGCGGATCCTTTGTGGGCATGTGCGTGTGGCAGCTGAGATGATCCATAAATATTACGGTTGATATCTGCCTAGATTTTCAGTTTTAGTATTTAATATTCAAGATTTTATTGGACATTCGTTGAATCTTTGAACTGAATAAGCAAGCACTTCCGGTTGACAGATGAATTAGATTATTTGCATTTGATTGTTTAGTGTAAGTGAAACGTCGCACCGCATTCAAGCAACTGCTTCCGATCGTAAAATTTTGATGTGACGAGAACGTTTTTATGCTAATTTCATTCACTCACGTCTCATAGTCTCATCAATTTGAGATTTATGATTCACGCTCAGAGATATCGTTAGATATGAATATATCCTTCAGCATATCCTAATGATGATCCCCTAGTCAGTTTTATGACCTCAATTATTAAAGTCATTCTGTGTTTGTGAATGCGTTCTTACTAAAGATTTCTTTCATTTTCATTGATTTTTCTCGCCATTTGCAATTAGAAAACTGCTGACAAACAACTTGAATCGTAAACAAACTCTTGAACCCTAAGGAAGATTGGAAAAATTTTAAAGGTTCCGTGAGCAGGTGAGAAAATTTTGATGTTGTGACCGAGATTTCAGATGAAATTTGATAGTTTAATAGTCATAATTTATGATGAGGAGGTTGATTCGAAATTTAGCTTGGTCTGCAAATGATTATCATCATTGTTATAATTGATCAGATCAGATGGATATACTGTAGATAAATTGTTTTGTTCATACGAGGTATTTTTTAAAAGTGTAACAGAGAGGAAGATAATTTATTCAAGTCATACACTTACGATTAATACAACAATAACAATAATGATAATAGGAATAATAACGTGTAGTAATGAGAATAATGATATTATAATAATTGGATTATGTATCTGCCTGCTAATTGTAAATGGATATCATTTTAATGTAAAACTAGAACGTAACATTATGTTTTGTTAGTCAAAAATTAATGGAAATGTGTTAGATCATGTAATTTGTATGGAGAAGAATTACACGAAATTGCGCAGATGTTCAAAAATTATATAGCCATCTTCCAATACCTTGGCATGCATTCGTCAATGTGAGCAAATTGGAGGGCATGCACACATGCATTCAGCAAAGCGTTGGCAATTTGAGGAGATAAGTGGATTAAATTACCCCCTCCCTACGGGTACTTTCACCTCTTCACGTTAGATAATAGCATTGTTCTCTTTTCTTTTGCTATCTTAAGAAATACTTCGATCCTTTTTTGTCGATCTGTTTCTCTACTCATGTAAATCTCATGATACTCTCCGAAAACAATACTAAATCCAATCAGATACAAACGTATATCCACCTAGATATGTCTAGAGCCGTGCTTGTCTGAAGATTTTTTCTCTACTCCTCAGTTGTTAAGGTGGATCTTCGGTGTTATCTGCAGACTTCGCGCATTTTGCATATGACTCTCTCCTTTTTTTGTGACAATATCCGTCATTTATAATCCGGATTATTGCGTAAGCAAATGAAAATATGCCCTACACGTGAGAATATGCTCCTTTATTCTTTATGACTACTATAAAATAAGACTAGATGGAAAAGCAATGAGTTTATCAATAGCGAGTTATGATTCTAGTTGTTCTGGTGGAGAAATACCCTAATCAATAGATACAGTTATATTTTCATGACCAGCTCCTCACTACAGAATTATTTACCAGGAGAAACGCAGGCAATATTGGCTTTCAATAGGCCATTCCAGCGAATCAAGAGCCTAGAATCTGGCTAGATCAGATTAATCCTTGAGCGCCTGGTCCAGGTGAGAGGCGCTTTCGGGCTTACAGGTACATATCCATAAATAGAAGGGTCGGTGCTTTAGATTCATTCGAAAATATTAGTACATTATCGTGGGAAAACTTCATTTTCCTGTGAAATGTTCAAATCTATCAGTCCCATCAAGGTGTCCAGTGCCAATTTTTCATATAAAAAAGATCTTGGATAACCAAATTGAAGCCACCGGTACATTCGACTCAAGCAAACAATCAAATTTTTGTGCTCCTCAGACAGGAAAAATCACGAGCTATAAGGAAGATATGTATATTAACGATGAAAAATCTTCTATTCCAGTATTCTGCTCGTATTTTAAAGTCTTTTACATAATATGAAGCAGCAATTTCATCACCTAACCCAACATTTACATTTGATCTTTCTATTGATCAGTAATTCACTTCTTTCAAAGATATTAGGCCTGCAGCTTTCAAGTCATTCGCACCCACAGATCCTTTCAGCTACTGCCTGATTCGTCAAGCCATTCTCAAGAAGCCGTTTGAAGCTGTATGAAAATCATATGCATGTTTCATGAATTGTAAATGCTCACACCAGGGGTAGCAATTGTTTTTATGTGAGGTCTTCCATGGACACGTCACATTCTGAGTAATTCGATACCTATGCATCCTACTCATACCATCTGCAGTCTGAATATGCGATGATGAATTTGAAACTTCCAGTACTAGCAGATTCCAATTAAAGACTAATGCACTGAGGTCTTGCACACTACTTTTAACTGTCTCCAACTTTATTATGACAGATAAATTTCAATAGATAACTCCTAAACAGAAGTATACACTCTGTATCATGACTATACAGTTTTGTCTTATGAATGATATGATGAGCACAAGGATCGTGTGAATTTTCATTTTATTTTATGTTTGTTTGTCTTTGATAAAACAGATGATTGCGTGTGGTCCTTTTTTCAGCCCTAATGAAACATATTCGCG